ATACACAATCCACCTCATAGCTAGCCCCACTTTCTATCTTGAATTTGAGAAGACAAATGTTTGCAAAGTTACCACCACTTGTATTGAAGTTATTGACTATTTCCACTACATACAAATCCATTTTTAGTTGATTGCACTATATCATCCAATTCAAAGTAAGACACATTTAAAGTTTGCTTCCTCAGAAAATCATACAAACCTAAAGAATATATATGAAAGAAAAAGAGCCAACAATAAAATATATACACATATAACTTGCTCACGTGACAGCAGAGGGACCTAGCAAGGGGTTCTCGTGGGTGTTCTGGAACGAAAATCGGCCAAAAGTCGATTCACCGATGCATTTATTGTCAGATTCGGAGTTGGCTGGGCAATTGTTGACGTACATGACAATGATGAAGACAACGATATTGACAGTCACAATGGTGGGGACCACCCACGGGAACCATTTCCTTGAAGGGAGGGGGTAGGGTGGGTAAGGGTAGGGCCCGCCAACCGGGTGTGGGTCACTCTTGCGCGGTTGGACTTTGATCCCAAGCTCAGAGTCTGGAGATGACCCCACCGGAGTCGACTTTCCCATGGAAGAGAGCCGAGATCGAGGGAGGGAGGGAGGGAGAGGAGAGGGGGCAAGATGGAGGATGAGATGAGATTGAGAGGAAACATATTTTTTATTTTTTATTTTTTATTTTTGGGGGTGGAGCGCAAGGTAAGGAGAATAATTTGAGGAATATGGAGGGGGGACTATTATTAGGATGTATGCATGTGAAAGTATGTTGGAATTGTGTGCATTGCATGATGAAACCAACGGTGTGGTTTTTATTCAAGATTTATGTGTGCTTAAATTATAAGAGGTAATTGAGTTAGCCCCTTGAGGTCAATAATTTGGACTGGCTCATAATTTATTGGTTCAACCTTCCAACTAACCAAGTTGATTAAAACAAAAATTTAAAATTTATATGTATAATATTTTTCTCATAAATGTACATTAGATAATGATAATAAATAATTTATTTTCAGATTTCAAATTCTAATATTATTGTATTCCACTATAATTATATATATATATATATATAT